GAGACGAGACGAGACGAGACGAGACGAGACGAGACAAGGAGTCTCAGACTTGAGCAACGTAAGGGCGGTACCAAAGAGCGTGTGAGAAAGCGCAGAGGCTTGCGATGAACGGGGCCTGAAGCCGATGACCGGAGAAAGCTTGGAACGAGAGACCAAAGGAGAGCAAGCTAGGAGCCGGATGTAGCACAGATACAACATGAAACGATGTGGACCCGAGTTACCGAAAATGCTTTTGTGGATGCTGGTGCCTGCTGCGGGCAATGGACGACCCTTCCTGTCGAGCGTGAGACATCATCTCAGGCTTTGGCCGTCTTTCGCATAGCATCTTCCGATTCGTAGTAGCAAGGATAGAGACAAGCAGCACCGTGCTCCGTCGTGTTCTTCTTCCTCCCACCGATCGAAGCATAATCCGAAGGCTTCATGTCTGCCGCTTCGTCGATGCGGATCGCAGATAGAAGGGATCGATTCGAAGCTCGACGCATCGAAGAGTTGATCATCGCAGGAGGAGGCGCGGCTAGACCCAACCCAGTCGGCATCGATTTGCGGTCTTCCACATTCACGCTGCCGCGCGGTGTGGCTGGGACGGTGTCTAGCGTCGTCTTGCCGCTCAGAACGCTCGCCCGATTGACGCCGTTGGCTCGAGAACCGCCGGAACGACCAATGCTCGACCACAAGCGCGAGACTGCTCCTTTGGAGCGCGGAGAGAGAGGAGCCTGCGTGCCAACATGTTTGATGTCGACGTCTTGCGCAGGCGCCTCATTGCCCACAGCGACATCGACCGATGGTGTCTTGCGTAGAAATGGCGAAGCAAAGTTGGAGGCGCTGAGCCTTCGCGCGCCCGTGCTGGTTCTCTTCGCCTTGGAGGCGTCAGCTGCAGCATTCTGACGCGGTCGCGGGGGGCAGCTCTTGCGTTCAGTAGCAGGCGCAGCGGTATCGTCGAATGAGATGCTCGGAGAAGTAGCACGTCGATGGTGCGTGGGCGGAGATGGCGCCACGCTCAAGAACGACGTGATGGCAGTGCTTGCGTCGTCTCGCTCACGTTCTTGCAAGACCGAAGAGCAGCCGAGCTCTTTTTGGTCGCGTTCCAGCTTTGGAGACGAGTGCGTCGAGGTGGCAGGAGTGGAGCAGTCGCCGCTCGAACTCCTCGACGCGAATGCGGCGACTTGACCCAAAGACGTCGATGCGGTGTCTGCAGTCATGTTGGAGCTTGCACTTGTGCTGCGTGACAGGTCCGACAGAACTCTGACTGTGGGCGTCGGCATCCTCGCAACCGCGACGTCGTCAGGAACATCTCCCAGGCTATCGAAAGCGTCTTGCTCCTCTTCGTCGAGAGCCAGATGACCGCCTTGCTCGGCTGCACTCCAGTCTCCATCCGCGACCCGACGGTGCAAAGCAAATCGCGTCGGCGTGGATTTGGGCACTAATTTGCGAACGAACGCCAAGCGACGGGAGTGGTAGCGGTGCGAGCGGACAGGATGGAAAAAGTCCAAACGCATTTGGTCCAACTCTGACTTTCTGAAAGTCGCAAACCCATCTGGAATGTTTGGCATGGGGTCAGTGGCAGCTTTGCGGCTGGCAAACAGCAGTGCCAAATAGCATTGCTTGCGCTGCAGCATGCTTCTCGCATGACTGCCTTCAGTCTGGTCTGGCTCGGCTTTGCATTCAAAGCCCGAATCGATGCCCATCTGTTTGGTCCAGGGCGCACCGCAAACCAGCAAGGAGGGATAGGCGGGAGAAATTTGCTCCGCTCTTGCCGTGACAATCGCCTCGACAAAGTTCTTGATGAGCGTCTCGAGCTCTTTGGGTCCCTCGTGACCGCTTCCAACAACGTGGTCGACTAGACCGCATTGCAAAGCCTGCTTTGCGCTCATCGGCATCATCGAGCGGGTCAGCTCGCGGGCCTTTTGGGTGCCACATCGAGCGGGCCAGCTGTATGTGTGCCACTCGGAGCCGTAAAGACCTAGGCCGCGATAATGAGGGTTGAAGGTGGCGCCCGCAGAAGCAATGCAGATGTCTGCAGCCGTACCCAGCGCCAGACCTCCGGCTGCTGCGTTTCCCCGCAGCGCCGAAATGGTGAGGACGCCCGAAGGCGCCAAAATCTTCTCCACCACGTCATCGATGGCATTGATATTGGCCCAGGATTCAGCAGCGGGGTCTTCGGATCCCTCGATTACGTTGAGAGCGATACCATTGGAAAAGTATCCCGCGCCACCCATCAGCACCACCGCATGCACCTTGGGCTCTCGACTCAACGTCCATTCCAGTGCAGCTGCGAGCTCGTGGCACTGACCAGTGGCGGTAGCGCCGTTGTAGAACTCGAAGTAGACGTAGGCAATTCTTGTACTCTGGCCGGCGTTTTCAATGTCGACCCAGACTTGCTGCCATGTTCCAGGCTGAAAAGCCCAAGCTTCGTGGTCGGCAGGCGCAGGCCACTCAGGCACAGCGGCCAGCTCGAGCTTTTGTGCCAGCGCTGCGTCAGACTCGATGGCTTGCACCGATGGGAGCTTGGGATGCAGATGCTTGTCTACCTTCGCCTTTGGCCTTCGCAGGTGTGTGATCCAAAGCGGAAAGTCTGCTCCGCAATCCATCAGGACTGCGCCGGCACGAGTGGCGAGAATGGTGCCCGTCTTCGATTGTGCCGCTCGATGGGCAACGTTCTCAGGAAGGGGCGATGACTGGAGGTGCGCACCGTACAAAAACATCGAAGGCCCAAGCAGAGCCGACTGCACACCCGGTTGAGAATCGGCGCTGTTGATGCGCTGGACGAGTACCTCTGCTCGAAGCTTGTGGGTCGATGATGCTGGCAGCTTGACGAAATCGCGTGCCGAAGCTTTGAACAAGGGCCGTTCGTGAGTGGGCCCTCCTAGAAAAGGTTGTTGCCTAGAGACGCAGCCGCTTCTCGCCTCCGCCGATAGCTGCAATGGAAGGTCGACGCCAAAGGGCCTGGCTGTGCAATGTGTCTCCAGGCGTTCAATGGCTGCGAAGACTGCTCGCACGGCGGCTTGAGAGATGGGTCCGCGGTACAAATCGCTTTTGGTCATCGAGGCGGCTTCTTCATTCATCTCAAACTGTTCAAAGGCGACTAAAAGGTGTCTTGCTCGTCAATGACCAATTTGGGCGCGCCTCTAGCGTCGAGAGCGCACTCACCAATCGGACCCGCATCTAGAGCTTCGATGGCTTGCAAGACGGTGATCGCCCAGTGGGAACGTCTTCTTGGTCGAGCATCTGGGGCAGCATGTCGATAGTCGATGAGTGCCAGCTGTTCATGCCAATTGTCGAGCTCGCCAGTATCTCCGAACAGAGCGAGGTCAATGGCGGAAGGTCCAGCGTCCCCAGGGGCGCCCTGAGGAAATTGATGCAAGAGGAACGTTCAGCTTATCCGTGCACGCATTCGTGGTTCCCAACTTATAAGACCCCACGCGCCGAGGAGCACGGCTATCCTCAAGACGACCACTCACCGGATGAACAATAAGTGTGAGCCACTTGCTGTATACTTGTGCCGGCACTCGCTTGGTGAGGAAAGGGCAAAGGATGAGGTCCGGTTGAGCCATTTCAGCAGCCTCGATCATGAGCTCTGATGAAAGTGCCATCTCCACCGTGACGGCATGGCCGCGTTCTTGCAGTGCCAGCGCGAGACGCTGAGACAGCGAGTTGTGAGCAGTGCAGATGAAGAGGATCTTCATAGCGGTGACACTCCGGTAGGGCGTGTGGTGGCACAAACCCCGAAAGACGACGGTGTACGGTAGGCCGCCAGCCTCGCGAGCAGGCAGCTACGCGGTAAATATGTGTGAAGTGTGGAGGCTTTCCGAAGTCTGGATACACCGCAATCAAGTGAATGGCCGGGGCGCTGATGTGCAGCTGCTGGAGGCAAGAAATGAGCGGGGGACAAGGAGGTGTTTCGGATGGAACAACATATGTCGTGCCGTTTGATCGACGGTTATATAGTCTTGGATCGGTGATGGTGTCCGGTGCACTGATCCGTCATTCACAATTGCTGGCGATCATTCACGATTGGAGATACACGACTCCTTGCGCTCGCCCGCGGTGATTGTGCTCGCATGATGCTGAGACGGCGGGCACAGCAACGCAGCGCCCGCTTCTTGCGTCCAAGACAAACCCCGATCTCACCTCACTTTCGCGGGTCGGTTGCAACGATGACTCAGATCTGACTCTGGCAAGTCAGCTCCGGAACGATCTGCAAAAGCGTTATACGAGCGCGTGAGTCATCATAACAGTGGTGAGTCAATCAAAGCGTCCGTTGGAATCAATCAAAGCTATAGTAGTAGTGAATCCATCTGCCCCGGCCGCTGTCCGCATCCTACTTGTGACTGCGCATGTCATTGGCGACACTGCAAGGATGCTCCACCGGGAGACAACTTGACCCGTCGTGAAGTCGTGAGTGTATATAGGCCCACAAAGAGCCCCGCGGGATCTCAATGCAAGGGTACCTTGCGTCAGCCAGCCTCCGGGTATGCAAGGATCTTACGCTGTGACTGCACTGTGTCTCGACGGAGCGGGCGTACCATTGCCCTTTGAAGATCAGAGGAGACCGTCATTGTTCGACACGAGATGCGATCGTCGCTGAATGGCCCGCTACAATTGTCTCGGCCAGCGCGGTCCGCGTGGGCCAACTAGCTGGACCCTAGCGCGGTAGTGGTACATAGCCCTTTGCGCATATGAGATCAGGAAAAGACGGCGAGCGTATGCCAATCATTGCCCGGAGAGCATTTTCTCACCTTGAGCTCCTTCAAAGTCGAACGACAATTGCCCCTTTGCGAGAAAGCGGGAAAGTGCAAGGGTAAGGGAGTCAATGGAGCGCGAGGTTGATGATGTATCATGGTGCTCGCACTCTTGAATGATGACTCACGACTCGTGCGTGACCAACGTCTCTTGATTATTGAAAGGAAAAGCTCCTTGCATGCTCAATTGACGGAATTTGGCGTTGCGCCAGAGACAAATGGAAGAGAGGCACGGGCCAACTCACGCGCACCCCCCTCGCACGCCATGCAGGCACGCGCCCGTCCGCCCCATTCTTCTGATGTGTCGTACACCATTATAGCTGTCCCTTGACCTAGCTTTGCTGCTAACAAACTGCCTCGACGATCACAATCACATCGCTCGCACATGATTAGCTCTTCGCAAGGCGTGGGAAGACATCCTTCAAAGCTAAAGTGTGAGTCTCAGTCACGTAATCGACACAAATCAAGACCATCCGACAAAAGGGCGCTGCCTTGCACAGACCCTTGTGATGCTCTCCTCGTGGATGACTCCAGAATGTGCCCTTTGCAAACTCAATTGAGCCCTCGTATGCGTTCTTTGCATTCATTTGCGTAGTCTTCCGTCTTGCCACTGCCAGAGCAATTAATGCGTACGGGTCTCTTCTAGTCTGCTAGCTGACACCATGCAGCGCATCACATCGATCGATCGATCCCTTCCTGGCAAGCGTTCTCCGGGTCGCGATCGCTCCCGGATAATAAAGAACATTTCTGTCCGATTGCACCGCGCCCCATTGAGGTGCCTTACTTGAGCAAAGACCGATGATGACCAAGCCATGTCTTTATCATCATCATTACATCCCTTTTCATCGACCTCTATGCTTGACTCTTTGATGAGTGCTGCATGGCCTAAGCTCAATCGAATGGTTGGGGCACCGCAAGGAGAGCAAGGCAAGGGTGCATGCAGAAACAGGTGCGCCACAATCTGCAACGAGGCTCATGCATCTGCTGATGCAGGAACTCCCCTTGCCGTTGGCGCAGCAAGGAGTCGCGGCTGGCTCCCGTTCACGCAGGTCATCGTGCATGCCATGTACCGTACACGTGCTACTCTCACGCTGTATGGCAGACGAAGACGAGGTCAGATCGATCCATCTCCTGCGTAGCTGCTTTGCAGCATATATGGTGTGCTCCCTGCTGGTCCGTCAAGACGGGACTCACGACTGCTGGGCGGCCTGAGTCGTAGAACAAGACTGCATCATTCACTTGATTCGTGTATCAGGGTGAATCGTGACTTGACTTGACAACAGGCGACCTCTTTCTTACTTCCCAACTCAAAGTCGTGGGCCCTAACACCGGGTACGATTTGTGCGCCTCGAGGCATGATTTCAGCTTCGCCTTGTCTCATTCACATTCGTGATTCATTGACTCTGACTCTACCAGCAGCTCATCACCGTGGGTCCTCAACCTGGCACTTTCACGTCTGCTGGGGTTTGCGCGGCTACCCTTGCGAGGCAAAGGTCCGCATGTAATTCTGCTGGCTAAGCACCAGGTGGATGGTTACCGATTCCAAATATGGCCCAATCGCGGCCAAAATCTCGCCATGTCGATATTCGCGCGAGATCAGGTGTGCCGAGGCTTGCTCGTGCCGTTCCAATTATACCAGCTAGGCTTGCGGAGGTATATTGGCTTCCAGGATCGGCATACCTAACCCATTATGAGGAATCCATGCTAGAGAATTTGGCCCCCAACAATCTCAATTTGCGCTGCATCACGTAGCTTTGGAGGAGGCTGTGTATGAATTCAGGTTGCTGCTGCCAGCGTCCAGCACCAGCAGCTTGTGAATAGGCTACACAGGTACGCAAAGACGATGTCCATCAAGGCTTGCCATCGTCGGTAGCAGTAGATGCATGGGCGTGCAAATGTCTCGATCGTTGCACTGCAAAGTGCGGCTTTGTTGTCGGCGCATGAAGGAACAGTGTGAGTTGCACAGGTTGAGAAAAGCAAAAGCTATGAATACGGGTGACTAGGCAGGCGTGCTTTGGGACGTAGCACGACGACGCTGGAAAGCTGGCTTGTGTTCCTCAATACTGCGACGGTGATGTGTGTGCTTGTGCAAGACTTTGAGCGGACGAGTGCCTTTGCTCAACTGCGTGAGTTTCGTCGTGTGAATGTAAGACCCTTTTGGCGGCTTGACGCTGCGCTTCGCCTTCGTAGGACTTGACGCTTTCACGGCAGGCTTGACACTCGTAGCGCCCTTAGACGAAGCTGGGCAAGTCCAAGGTGCCTTCTTGTTTGCCCAATACTTGACATTCTGAACCGTGCGCCAGTAGCATTTGTCGTCTACCTCTGCCCATTCTTCCTCACCAATGTCGGCGACCGGATCTTGCTTGGGCCAGTCCGAGCCAAAAAAGCGAGCTCGGTCCTGGTAGTAGAGTATGCCGCCTTTCTTGTTCTGAAGCAGCCAGTTGGTGCCATCCATGGTCCAATCGACGAGCGTCTCGTTGAACCCAACACCAAACATGCCCAAGTGGTAGAATTGTGTTTTGCCTACGACGAAACTGGTCGAGACGCCTTTGCTGTTCCACATTTTGGGGTCGAGGGAGTCGTCCATGTACTCGCTATCGAGGAATGCGGTCCTTGCCATCGAGTCCCAGGGCCTAGCTGCGGGAACGGTGCCTTTGCCGATGACGCTCTCAGCGCCGCCTTCACCGCCAATCATTGCTTGATTGACGGCCAGAGCACCTCCGCGGTTTCCAGACCATGCGGCGATGGTGCCTGCCCTTCGGGCTGAGATCATAGGCTGCCACATGAACATCTTTCCGCTTCCTGGAGCCGTCGCGAGGTGAACTTGTAGTCAGCGTTTCTCACTTGCCTCAAATCGAGGCGGCTGGGCGTACGTAGGGCAGGGCCACACGACTCACCGACAAGAGTGTCTTGCCAACCAGCAACCAGTCCCGCAAGCCAGAAGCATTCGCCGTCACACCTGACGGTGTGCCTCCATGCTATGGCCCAGGTGTTGGAGAACAACACCTTGGTGCCCTGCGCAACGAAGAAGCTCGGGCCAATATGAGGAAGATCGGCATTGGCGGATGGAGCGGCGCCCTTCTCGCCGGGCTTGTCGGTCAGTGCAGCACCCGGAGCGGGCTTGTTGCCGTTGGAACTGGTATTCGGAGCGGTGTTCGGAGCGGTGATGGCTTTCGAAGCGTTTGGATCGCCTCCAGCGTTCGCATTAGTCTTGCCGTCCGCATTCAGTCCGGCATTGCCACCTGCGTTCGTGCTCGTCTTGCCGTCCGTTTTGCCATCCGCGTTGGGAGTGGCATTGCCATTTGCGTTTGTGCTCGTCTTGCCGTCCGTTTTGCCGTCTGCATTTGGAGTGGCATTAGCATTTGCGTTGGGCGTCGAAGTTGGTTCGCCAGTCGGGGCACCGTTAGCGTTAGACTGCCCGGTAGGAAGGTCTCGCTTGACGGGCGTTGCATTGATAGCTTCCGTGTCCCTCTGATTCCACACTTCGACGTCGTGAATGGCAATCGTCTTGCCTTGGGCGTCAAAACTAAAGACGGGCGTCTCGTCCGTCGGTGCAGCGTGAATGACGGGCCAAGTGAACCGCGCAGCTTTGCCCGCTTCTTCGGTCCAGATCAACTCTCCTAGCAGCGTGACGGAACGCTTGACCGCGTACTTGGCATCGAAGTTGACGTAGCCGCTGGATTCGATGTCGCGCTGAGAGATGAGAATCACCGGTGCTGTACCAGCCAGAGCGGCCGTCAGTTCGGTCGAGTTGTGTACGACGACCGTTCCTTTGGGACACTGAGCCAAATCAGTGCCGCCCTTCTCTTGACACGCTTGATGCTTCCCGGCACCGAGCACTCCTGAAAAAGTGGTGAGTGCACATGACAGCAAGAGGAGCAAAGATGCGCGATGAAGGGGACTCCAAGGCATTCTTGATGAGATCGTAAAGGTTCAAGGAGCGTGTTTGAGCGAGTAGCGGACGAGGGCGGGTGTCTGATGCAACCACGGCAAGCGATGAGAGTGGAGATTGGGGGCAGTGGTAGGGATCGAGGCACACGTCGACCGTTCGTCCAAGTGACAGCGGTCTTATTTAAGCGGGAGACCGTGCTAGAGCTAGCGTTGAGCGAAAGGGCGTTAGCGTGAGCCGCTGATCAGGGCCACAGTAGCAAAATACGGTCGAAAGTGGGGTCCGTCAGTCTTGAGTGTTGGCTCAAGTTGATCAAGAAGCAAGGAACAAGTCAGGTGTATATATATGAAGGCTACGCTGCTTACGGACCGTCTGCTCTGCGCAGACTGCGCCGAAGGCCTGGCCTAATGCAGCGCGTTGAAGCACAACGACCGCGACTTGCAAACTGCTGGCCGCAGTCATTCAGCACACTACGACCAGGCGACTTTGAGCCCCCGTCCCACGGCATGCCTGGGTCCATGATACAGATTGTCGCACCGGATTGACGATGATAAGTCCCCGTGAGGTGCTGACGCAGATCCGCAAGGCGCTTGCTGGTCGCGAGGCATGACTGACGAGTGCACGCTGCAGGGTATACAGCAGCATCTGCTGTATGCCACCCGGATGCTGACACTGGTCACTACGACGCCACTCACGACTGCGCGGCGTGCGACGGAGGCACGGTAATCTAGAAGCGAGGTTGGTGCGCACAGCATTGTGCAAACCCCCACCTTGATACGATACAAGTCCGTGCTTGTCGCCCATAGTGGCCGTGAGGCTCCGATTATTGAATTCGTCTACGCGAAGGGGCCACTTCCACCTTGCCAAGCTTCCTTGACTGCTCGCACTCGTCGCACTTGGCGCTGCCAATGGTGAGTCCCAGTGCGACAGCATTGGATGGATGAATCGTAAGGCCTTTTCTTCCCGCTCAAAGTTACTTTTGATCCGACTCCTATATCGGTATATCGGTATCACTGGCCGTTTCGAGCCATCTATTTGGCGCAGCGATGGCGATGGGTATCTACGGTAGCAACCGACCGCAGACAGCAGACAGACACCCTGTTACCTAATCTTGGCTCGGCACGGCTCGCATGCTACCCAGCTAAGGAACGGTGAGCCAACTATCGTAGAGCGACCTCACTTTTGCTGGCCTCGCATTCTAATGCAATTGTCGGACCTGCCAAGAAGCTCGATCTGCGTTGCGAGGTCAACAACACAGCCATATACTCTATCAGCAACAGGTCGTGATGCCATGGCTCTTCTCAAAGATCTGGCTGTGCGGTGTGAGGGTGTTGCTGCAGCTTGGCGCTGGCCGTCATCAATGGTCAGCCATTGATGGGATATGTATCCTGCAGCAAATAGATTTGTCTGCATGTGTGCCATCAGAGAGAGGCCAAGGTTTCAATCTCGCCCTATCATCTTGACGAGATAGCACGAGATGGAGAGGTCGCACCACAAGCACTACCGAGGTCGGAGGCGAGCACGGTGACTAAATGAGGGCCCTCGGCAAGACGCTTGGCGCACCGTATGCTTGACGCTACTGCACTGCTGGAACGAGTGCGCACACACGCATAGAGCAGTCTTGATCTGCAATGTATTGCATTGCCTTGCGACGGCAAGGAAGTGATGCCGCCTCCGGCTGTTGGTTTGTGTGGATCTGACGAGGGGTTGGCCTTGAGTCTCCGTGGAAGACGCCAGGCGCACTTTAATATTCGGCGCTCATGCGACCACCAACGGAATACACCGGCGTGTGTTTGTGCCTTCTTTCCGTGCTGGCGAGCAAAGCTTGGCAGGGTATGCGATGTGATGTTGCCACTGGACGCAATGTCGTAGCAATTGAGAAGTTACTGTGCGGTGCTGTAGACTTTTGTTATCGCGGTCATGTTGACTGCGGCAGAGATTGGGTGGGCCCAAGCGTCATGCTGGATGGAGCTGCCGTCTGCTGTGGTCAGGTTAGCGAGTTTGTGCTGGAATGATGGATCAGGTTGCGGGCGTGGTGTCTAGGCCCAAAGATGAGACTGCACTCACTCTATGAGTCGCATCCACTTGGCATGTGTCGATCCAGCTTCCATGAGACACTTGCAGACCCGCTGCCACTGACTACTTGTCCTTTTTGTACTCCTGCTTGCCAGCAGCTGCGGATGTATCGACTCTCCTAGCGTCGGTCTGCGTGGCCTGTTCCGGTCCTTGATCCTCCAAGAAAGCCACGACGATGTAGGCAACAAGGACAATGTTGACCACCAACGCTGCTATGCCTCCCGCGATTGTCGTGTTATCTTTGGACAGGTGAGTGATGGAGACGTAGTAGGCTGTGAGAGGAGCGGCAAAGATGAAGAAGGAGAAGAGGGCAAGCTTGTAGTACACTCCAATTGCCGGATCCTTGCCGCGAGGAGCCACGTTGGATGGTTTGACCTCCATTGCGATGACGATTCAGCGCGCTCGTCTGTTGAGTGGCTGGATGGAAGAGAGCGCGCGCAGTTGTAGTAAAAGTGGTAATTTATTATTAGTCCTGTTCCAGACAGAAAGGCGAATCACGAATGAATGAGCAAGACCGATTGATTTGTTCGAGAGCCAGAAGAGTCGACAGTCGTGAGTTGAGTAGCAGCCGCGTGCTGCTGCACGGACAAAGATCGACACACCAGGCCATATGAAAACGCTGCCACACTCACGCAGGCGCCGCTCATTAGAAACGATCGCGTGTAGAGCGCGGGCCTCCTCCACATGCTGCTCCCATACACTCGCGACTGCTGTGACTGCGCCCCGTCCTCATTGCACTGTGACTGCTCACCCATTTGCGATTTCCGCATCCCCTCCTCGCCCAGCCGTCATCGTGCCAATCAATTCGCATTCACCTCGTTCATGAGCGTCAAATTGGCTTTGTGCGATCCACCAGCACGGGGTTCCTGGACGCTTTTGATGCACGAAGGCGCACACGATGGACACGCAGGCCGGATTCTTCTACGAGCCTGGCGTGGTCGAAGCAGATGCGGGACCATCGACCTCCTCTCTCGCGCTTCAATCAGCGTCTCAGCCTCCTCAGCGTCTCACAGCCACGCAGTCTGCGCGTTTGAGGAACTGGCTCGAAGACTCACTTGGCGTCTTGCATCGAGGTTGGCAAAGAAGGTTCGCCAAGAGGGGAGAGAATAGGTTCGTCACGCTGGACCAGTATCTGGATCAAGCGCAAAACATCTTGAGCGTGCTGGCGCTCATACCGCAACACTACGAAGGTGCGAGGAGGAGAGAGGAGCTCAAAGTCCCTTACTTGCTCAGAGCTACCAGTGAGCTTGTCGAGGGAGTTGTTGGATATGACTTGCGGCCGTACAGGAGAGAGGAGGAGCATACACCCACATCGTTTGACTACGAGGACCTGGGAGACGCACCGAACGTTCACGATGAAGCAGACCACTCAGCGGCTCCACCAATCGGCGGCACGCCGCTACCAATGCAATTTACATACGTTCTCAGGACGTTCGCCCTGCTCGATGCTCAATGGGTCGCGCTTCTCGACGGCAAAGACCTGGACTACAAGTCGGCTCAGGCTCGCAGTACGCGCAACTATCCGTGTTCTGGCGACTTGTACGAGTTCAAGTCGTCCGACGACACCCTTGAAATGGGCGAGGAATGGCACGCTTCCACACTGACTGGTCGACATCCAAGAGCCACTGCTACCGCAAGTCATGGCAGATTTCAGCGCGCGACAGAAAATCTGGAAGGAATCAGGGTACAGAGCGGATCGGGCAGAGCGCTCTCACAGACGGACAAAGTGAGGCTGAGAAATGTGGTCCTGGATGCAAGGGCTAGATTTATGCGCTGGATGAGATTGGCTTTAGACGCAGAGATGCTCGACGATGAGGAAGAGAACGCGCAAGAGGACGAAGTCGAGGAGAGTGAGCGGCGTGATCAAACCGAAGTTGGACATGCGAACAATGCAACTTCTGCTGCTGCACATGCGAACAATGCAACTTCTGCTGCTGCTGCTGCTGAAGACGTTCATGAAACTGCCTGCGGGGAGCAGCCAATGACTAACGCTGGCACGGAGGATGATGAGGATGAGCTGGACATGGAAGAGGTTCTGCCTCAGTCGCGCACCGAGAGGAAACTCTTCTCATTGGGTGATGGCCCGTCGCCCATCATCGATCGGTCTCATGAACTCCGAGCCTTAGATTCACCTATAGATACTTCTGTAGAAGGTAGACACTTCGCAAATTTGTTTGCGCGAAAGGTGCGTCCCACACGGCTGCTGCATTTGCTTGCAGGAAAAGTGTGTGAAGGACAATTAATACGAGAGCTACCTGTGATACTCTTCTGCAGCTTGATCCTGATGCGGATGATCAAGACTCGGATAGCGGAAATGACGCCTCGCATCCAGTTCGGTCGGAGACCAGCCAAGAAGATCAAGAAATTTTTTCACGGCGCTCTCATACTTCACCTGAACATATACCTCAGACTGGTAGCGCTCCAAAGGTGGCATCCGAGGCACCTCACGAGCGAACAGGTGCGGAGCCGGCAGACACGGGCGTCTTGATCTGGGAGCAATTGCGAGAACGCTCAGAAGCTTGTCGGAAGGAAACGAGAGGCAGTTGGAGAGACTCGAAAGGGAGAGAAATAGAGCTGCTGGAAGGCCAGAGGATGATTAATATATTCGTACGCGCAAGTTGTGGTAGGGTCCGAACACGGGCATGAGTGATTCTGTGTGCGCGGGAACCTCGATGACGCTTTGAGTACAGGTGGTGCATCATCAATCCGATCCCATGGTCTCGAGTCACGTGAGTAAGCAGGCGTGAGTTTGAGTGTCTAGTCCGAGATTCAAGCTTGTGGTAGATCGGAGGTTTGAGGGTTCTAGCACGATTACAACAGAGGCTGGGACGTGGGGTGAAAGGGGAACTCATGACTGAGCTCTGTCACGTGAAGCCGCGCGTGCCGCGAATACTCACAGCTCCACCAGGTGTTGATGTCACGTCCGCGGCGGGGCAGGCACATCTTCGTTGCCTGCCTGCAGCACGCAAGCAGCATGCGTGCATGCAGCCGTCTTGCGCTACACAGCGCCATATGCAGCAGCAGCAGCGCTGTACGAAGGGCGCAAGCTCAGCAGCGGATCACGAAGGCGTTCGATTCAACCTCTACTTTGACTTCTGGGTAGCGCCTACTGCATAGCTGCCACAAGGGCCGAGTCCCCTGGCAAGGGTGGTGTGGTGCATAGCATGCATACGGAACATCAAACTCAGACACCGTTGATTCCTAGCTTGGACGAAGCTAGCTAGCTGCCTTTTGGAGCTCGGCATGTCAAGGCCTCATCATCGATTCGATCAACTCGCCATAGTCAGACCTTCGCTATTGGACTCTCGGTCTATAGAGGCGTCGATCTTGTAGAAGCTTTGATAACAAATTGGCACCACTCATTCCAACGACGCATCCATCACTTCACTCAGGACTCTGACTCCTCCAGAGAGTCTCATCCCACATCACGTCCTAGGCTCGCCTGAAACGTCATCTCTTTCACTGTAGCAAGCCCGCGCGACTACAACAAGCCGAGGGCTCAGCGATCGGCTCTCACTTGTTCATTTCATCGCCTGAGGTCGGACGGCTACCCAACACGAGCTGTCTTGCCTGGCTAGAACTTCGGTGATTGAGCGTTCATAAGGGCCTAGCGGCCAGCACGTCTTGAGCACTCACGGCCCTCAAGAAGCACGCAAGTCGCAGTTCTGACGAACGGCGCTATCAGTGCCTTTGTAGGCGCCGGGTAGATCTGCACCATGGCGGACTCATCCATCTCTGTGGCTGGTAAGTTGCATACAAAGGCCCAGTGCCAGGGATGGCTTCTACAAGCTGACCCACGACCCTTCCCTTCCGTACCCGCAGTGCGCATCCGACCCTTTAGCGCAAAAGAGGCTGCCCAACTCGCACCAGAGGATCAGCCAGCCCCTTTTCTAGGTGATGGAGGTCTATCAGTAGGCTCACCTGCCAAAGCTGGTCCCAGCTCGGGAGCTCGCACGCGCTTCTTGCGTCCCATCATTCAGCCAGTCGACGACAAGGTCTTGATCTTCGATCCACCCGACACTAACCCCATCTCGAGATTGCACTCGAACTCGTTCGGCGTGGGAGCAAAGAAGTACAAAGATGTGAGGTACGCGTTTGATCGTGTGCTCGACCAGCATGTAGGACAGGAGGAGGTGTTTCAGGTCACAACGAAACCCCTGCTGGATGGCATCCTCAATGGCTACAATGCGTCGGTGTTTGCCTACGGGGTGAGTGCACGACCCGTTGCGTTTGAAGCAAAGTTCGGCACTTTCTCACATTGAGCCCACGGCCTCTGTATCACCCTAAAGGCTACAGGATGCGGTAAGACACACACGATCTCGGGCAGTCAAACAGATCCAGGCGTGATCTTCCTGACGATGAAGGAGCTGTATGCCAGGATTAACGATGTCAGAGAAGAGAGCGAAGTGGATCTTCGTCTGTCTTATCTCGAAATTTATAACGAGACCATCCGCGATCTTCTCTCTGCCGAGCCAACACCCGCTGCTGGAGGAGGACTGTCACTGCGGGAGGATAGCGCCAACAAGATCAGCGTTGTCGGCATCACCGAGTTGACTCCTGAAAGTCCAGAGGACGTTCTCGAAGCCATTGTGGAGGGCAACAAGCGCAGGACGATGAGTCCCACAGAAGCAAACGCAGTTTCTTCTCGCTCGCATGCGGTGCTGCAAGTCAACGTCACTCAGAGGCCCCGGGCTTCCGGCATGACTACAGAAACAACTAGCGCTAGTCTGAGCATCATCGACCTGGCTGGATCAGAGCGCGCCTCTGCGACTGCCAACAGTGGCGCTCGCATGAAAGAAGGTGCTAATATCAACAAGAGTCTCTTGGCTCTCGGCAACTGCATCAGCGCCTTGTGCGCGACTGCTGGCTCTCGACGAGCACACATCCCGTACAGAAACAGCAAGCTCACCAGACTACTGAAATTCTCCCTTGGAGGTAATTGCAAGACTGTCATGATTGTGTGCGTCTCGCCTTCTAGCGCTCATTACGACGAGACACACAACACTCTAAAGTACGCCAACCAAGCCAAGAACATCAGGACCAAGGTCACACGAAACATGCTCAACGTCGACAGGCACGTTGCACAATACGTGCAAGCCATCCACGAGCTTCAAGAGGAAAACAAGGAGCTCAAGCGAAAGCTTGAAGAGCGCGGTGTGCTGGAAAAGGAAAGCGAGAAAAGAAAGCGGGAAGAGGTTGCGCGAGAGCTGGACGAGGCTAGCAAACGTATGCGCGACAGCACAGACAATGTGAAGCGACAGATCATCGACAAGGCTCACTACCTTGCTCAGATCGACAGTGCGACCCGGCGCTTGGTACCACTGCGCAGCGCTCTCTCGCAGCTTCCAGTCGAAGAGCAGGACGGATCAGCTGAAGCTGCTGCTGAGCGAGCCTTGCTCACCGCGCTCATCATCCGCGTCGAAGCCAGGGCCAACGATGCTACTGCTCTCGAATCGGCTCGCACACTCGAGAATAGCGTTCAGATGCACAAAGGAGTGGTACACGCTGCTACGCACAATTACAAGCTCGACAATGACGCCACGTTGCGCATTCGCGCTCAAGGTGACGCTTTGCTGCGTGAAGTAGAGACCGCTCGCGAGACAAGGCTCAACGAGACCCTCAAGCAGGATATGAACGTGACTGCTCAAGACTTTGCGCACGCTGTCGCTGCGGCAGCACGAGCTACAGCAGTTCTCAAGGAGGCGGCTGGAGAGCTTCAATACCGCTCTACCAACATCGATGACGCCAAGCTCAATGAAGAAGAGAGCATCAAAGACTTCCTCGCTCGTCTTGCAGCTTCCCATCGGGCTGTTAGCGCTGTCAACGACCAAGCTTTTGAATCATTTGTAGGCGCAACTACGCCTGTCGCCCACCCTGCGCCGCCTGAGAAGCGCAGGGTCGTCACTGGTCTGCGCCCTCAACGTCGATCCAACCGTCCTAGTAACGGAGGGCTCCGCTCAATTCCCAACATCGCCATTTCTGGTCCCGTACCATCTGGCTCGCCGGGTCGAGGACCTGCTCGCCGAGCCCGGCAATCGCTTGCATTGCCTCGAATCGCTGGCTCGCCGTCGAAAGCAACAAGAGTATCCACGGCTAGCGCATCTTTGACTGCTCCAACGGCGGCGAGCATTGCTAGAGCTCATCTGGTAGCTTCGCCACGCAAGAGGGGGCGCACGAGTGCTGCCGGTTCGAGGAGACAGAGCTTCTTGGGACCCAACCGAGCTGCATCCCGGCCAAGCAGCGCACTCCCTATCGCCGTACCAGAGAAAGCGAAGAAAGCATTCAGATGGGCAGATGAAGCAGGAGAAGGATACATCGATGATGCTCGTCATCTACACTCGGTTCTCAGTGCCGCAGGCAGCAGCAGCACGGATTCGCAACCAGGCTCAAGCGCCGACGGCAACAGCAGCCCGTCAGCGGCACACGCACTTGCGCAAGCAAGCGCTGCAGAGCCAATTTCAGCGGTCTCCTCAAGCCCAGAAGACCCAGTAAGCTCGGGAACAGAATGGGAAGATGAGCTTACAGCGTTGATGGGCCCTGTCGTACCTCGTAGGACGACGTCTGCTGCACCGCGCCCGCCTGGTATGTCAAGCAGTGGCATATCTGCAAGCATCTTCGACCGCAACGCTCTCGCGCGCAGAGCCGCGACCAATGCCGCGACTGCATTCAATGATAGCCCTGCCGAGCAAGATATTGCCCGTCAAATGGGCTTGACCTTCCCCTCTTCGTCGACGATGGGTGCAATTCCCCGCGCTCGTACCTTTTCGGTACCTGCGCGTCCTGACGCCTTGCCACGTCCCTCGCGCGCTCCGTTCGCCGAGCTCAGCGTGCCTTCACAAGAGACTACGGAGATAGGAGCGGTGCGCTCGAGCCCTTACAAACGTCCCAGAGACAGCACTGTGGGACCAATTCGAGCTCGAAAAGGCAAGCGCAGCTCTCTGCCCCGTCTAGCTGATGCCGTCATTGGTGGTCCACGATCGAGCGGAAGTCCTCGAGTCGCTTCCGGCCCTGCCAGCTTGACTCACTCAAACACAACTACTAGAATGGGTCCTCCGATGAACACCGCAGCGCGTGCAGGGCTGCGGGACAGCGTCACATTCAACCATCCCAGGAGCACGGGCGACGTCAGCCTCCAGAGCGCAGACATGTCGAACTCCTCCGTCTCCTTCGCCGGTGTTCCGCCAAGACAGAGGACGGGATCTGGTCTATCCTTTGGCGGCAACAAGAACAACCTCAACCTCAAATCGGGCGGTCCTCCCAACTCTTTCAGAATCACTGCCGCTCGCTAGGGCGTTTCTCGAATTGAGCAACTTTAGCCTTTGCGTTCGCGCACCATCATTCTCGTCATGTCGCTCTTTTCGTTGGCCTTTCATTGCATCTCGAGTCTGCGCTTCGTTCCCACCCGACCCGTGTTCCTTATTTCTCCATACTCAGCTGCAGGCGACAAGCCAAGGCCACCATTACTGCTGTCGAGTTCATCATATCGGTATTTCGAATCTCGCGAAGCTTCCCGGGTGTGAGCATGTGAACGCGTCCTTGGGCGACGGAGGCCTGGGCGAGATTTCTTCGACGCGATTCTACGAGGATTGCGCGCAAGGATCGCTTTCTATGTCGCTTGACTTGGTAGCATATCTACTGGCAAGGCGAAATGCTTGACCGTGGCGTAGCATGATGAAGGGCAAAGGTATGCCAACAAGCCCAGCAAAGACAGCGAGCAGCGTGTTTCCCCATCCGAGACCGAGGTGGTGATACAAGGTCTCCCCGAGCAGCGGAGCTGCAAAGCCTAACAGGGAGCGTGTCAGGACAGAAGCGCTTAGCGCTGAGGCTGCGAGCAAGCTGTAGCACTCCGCAAGATAGCTCTGAGAGCGAGCGATTGAAAAGTGAATGAGCAGATGATCTCGAACACCGAAGCGCAAGGCTGCAAATTGATGACGCACTTGTACGATAACCACTGATACGGCAAGGCCGCACGCGAACACGGTGACTCCCAGATCGGCCAGCAGCTGTTGGGACTACAGCAAGTGAGCTGGACAGCTGGGTGCGTAGGTCTGGAGAAGTCCAAATGCTCACCCAATGTAATCCATTGCAGGTAGACCAGCCGTACACCAGCATACCACAAGTCGGGAAGCAGCCAAACCACATCAGTGGCCGAAACTTGCTCTCTGGAGCACAACCACGCTGCATGCGGCGAAGGTGTTGCTGAGTGAGTCTAGAACAAGATGTCACGCCAGAAGAGAGCAACTTACGTTTAAATGCAAGGATCTAGAGCTCAAGGCTGCACCGATCATTGTTCCTACAAAAATCGCAATGTAGTGCAGAGACGCCTTGTGACGGGCGCAGTCAGAATACTGATACAGCCTTGCAGCTCCGGCTGGACTCACTATACCGGGCTTTTCTCCGTAGCATGTGCCGTAGACCGCTGGAAATGTAGTCGCCATCAAGTAGAAGACTGAAAAGCACACCCCTAGACTGGTAGTGCCAATGTGCGGTCAGGCTTCAAAGATGCTACCTCGGTCGGCTACAGCACAAGGTTACCCACTGAGTGGCCGCAAGCTGTATTGCAGGCTCGCAGCTCAAGAGGATGATGGGTCTCAGCACCACCTCGGCAGCAAATGGAGCTGCGGACCTTTCGGTCTGCTCATATGCCGCGCACAAAGCCTTGACACCTTGCTCTGCTCGAAGTTCGCGTGCACGCAGGTGTGGAATACGAGCAGCAAGAGTTTCTGGAACCAGCAGGACTGTTGCACCTAGTGCAATCGCAATTGCTGCAGAAGTGAGTCCTAGCCCTAAACGCCAACTATCGCCAAGCTGCTGCGTCATGTAGCCGCTTTGCAAATGCGGGTCAATCGGCGATCGACAAGGAAAGCGCTTGTACGACACGCCACTTACCCCATGATGGGTCCCACAAGCGGACCAAGCTGAGGAGCAATGCTGAATATGGACAGTGCGAGAGCCCTATCGTCGGGATGCCACAGATCGATCAACACAGCTCCACCTGTGCCCAAAGGAGCACATGCACCTACGCCGCTGAAGAAACGAAAGGCTAGGAGCGTGCGGGTGTTTGTCGCGATGGCGCAGAGCGAGTTGAAAAGGAGATAAATCACCAGTCCCCCGACAAGGACAGGCCGACGTCCCCATGCTTCGCTGATTGGCGAATGTATGAGGTCTGCGGACATGCTCTTGTCAGCCTTCGTGAAGATGTTTCATCGCTAAGAAACGCACGTGCTATCGAGAAGCTTGCAATGTACACGGCAATGATGGCGCCTCGCTGTATTCCGGAGTGGATGCCAAGATCCTTCGAAATGTATCCCAGTGCAGGTGCCAAATGCGCCACGCCGACTGACAGTCCCAAATAGCTCGTAGCGTCAGTCATCACAAAGACGTAAACACGTAGCTCTTGGTAAAGAACAAAGCTCACATGTCGCCAGGAAAACTTGCAAGCTCACTACTATCGTCGCTGACCATTTCCTTGCTCGAGACCAATTTCGCGGATTCTCGGAATCATTCTCTTCATCATCTCTAAGGGAAGGCAGAGCCTCAGCCTACCAAGCCGCAACTGAGTCCTGATGAGATGCGTGGCTCCACTCACCTTGCGAGCAGGTATGCGGTAGCAAGGGGCGACAAGGGTCGTCCAGCAGCAAGCTGAAGCGCTAGTAAATCGCCTTTGGTCCAGATGGAGCCTGCAATGAGCTTCAATTCTATCTCTCTGGCCTCAGAATTGCCATCACGCTGATCAACTTGCAGATCTTCGTCTTGACGGCACTGGAGAGGCACCGAACGTGGCCGCATGTCGATATCATCATCAAGGAGGATTTCCTGATGCGGCATTGATTTTGTTGGATAGCTAACAGGTTGATTGAGTCTGAATCTTGTCGCAGTGCCCCTAGACCGGCAGCGATCATGTTCAAATTTTGCGGCCGTCTCATGCCGGCCTGAGGCTGACACATCTTCTGCAGTCTGAGCTTCCACAATGCAGGGCGGCAGAGGGGAAGCAGCGCGAGTGAAGGGGACCGTGAGAGCTGCTCGACTTAGCAATGCGTCCGGGAGAGCGTCGACACCGCATGAGAACGTAGGCGTAGTCAATCTGCTACTTCGTCCGAGGTTCGGAACCTGGTCGTACTGGCACCGTGGTCGAAGAGTGCGCTGAAAATGAGGCGCTGCCGCGTGGTCCTCGAACCTCTTGATGCTGCTTTCCGATGCTGTGCGGGATATGGGCGAGGTGACAAAGTGCTCTGGCTGATGACTTTGCACCTCACCTGTACAGCCTGACAAGGCCTCGAGTGCTTCTTCACGAAATGATACAGGGCCAGCAGTGCCCAGGGGCAGATGATAAAGGCATGTCGTGTCGCGAGTGGGCGTGTGTGGCGATGTTGGTGGCTGTGATTGGTGTGCATCTCCCTGACATTCGCTCAAGGGAGCCGCAGATGTACTGGTTCGATGCCGATCACTTTCTCGTATCATGTTGGGCTTTTCGTCCTCGCTCGATGCGAAACGCGGCATGTTGGTGGCCCGGTGAAGGAGTAAAGACGCTTTTGTCTCTGACAGATTTGATCGCTGCACTGCCTCAAGGAGCCGGCCAGAGAGTCAGAAGACTGGTATTAGCGACGCGGATCCAGCTCGGAAGTACTGCTTTTCAGGCTGAGCTTGGAGACTGCGAAGACGGCCAGCTCAGAGATTCCGGCGTTGATGCTCGCTGATTTGAGTTCCTCACCACATGTGCCTCACGATACCAAAGAGCTGCCGTTTTGCGTTTAGGACAGGCAGGCAACATGCATGACTCGGTCGGCAGCAGCATCATGCAGGGCTGGTGGAGTCCTAGTCCACGAAATTAGCCACAGTCCGCCGGATCACGCGTCCGCCCGACTGCACGCAGCCGGTACGGGTGGCAAAGGACCAGAGAGGTACTCGCTCTCATAGTTGAGCTCATGGGTAGTATGACGGTGACGATGTGTGCCATTTGGGGTATCAGATGTTTGACTTACATATGCGGCTCATGCGACTATTGCTGACGTCTATTCCGCCTTTCCTGCTCAAGTCTAGCTTCTTCGCCAGTGGCAAAGTATGTGATCTCCATGCCAATGCTACGAAGAGCATTTCCGTGGTTTCGACTCTCATTGGATGCCAAAGCGCTGGGGGAGACGTCGGCTCGAATACCAAAGGAGAGGAGAGTATTTCGCATTCGCCCCTCCCACAAGAGTGAGAGGACACCGGACGTGGATATACGCGCTTTGATCAATGCCAAGAGCGGCGCAACGGTCCCGCTCTTTGTGGGCAGACCAGCGTCTCTGGTAGAGCTGCTTGACTCTTCGGTCGTCATTTCAGATGATACCGGACTTGGCCACGTTGGAGAGGATACTGACGTCGGTGGCTCGTGTTCGCGCAAATTTGGTTGGGGGCGCTCTTTTTGCAAAGAGGGCAGATGTCCCGTTCCGAGCCCTCTGTCAGACTGGGGCCCAGCGCTCTCTCGTAATGACAGGTCTCGTGTGTTGGGTGAGAGCACCTTGTCTGGCCGCGTCCGATGCTGCTCGGCAGGCAAGTCTTCGCGCGACGAGTTGACTGCTTTTACTGAGTCGCTGACGCTGCCGATGACGTCTGATGCGGCCTGCTTGATCCTTTGGGCGGTTTCAGACATGCTATTGGTCAACGGCGATGCTGTTGCTGGTTGGTGAGCTTGTCGCGCAGCTCGAAGCCAGTACTCAAAGCCGACGGTGAGCTCGGAGTCGTAGCTGTACACGTTGAAGTCGTACCTGAGTAAACGTTAGGTCACATCAGCATCAGGTGCCTGCCACACCAAGCCAAGAAACGCACCGCGAACAAGCTACAATGTCCCGCGTCATTCTTGCTGCATACGCAGTGGACAAATGGCCCATCATGGGGTTGAGAGTAGCCGTGAGTGTCGTTGGGGGTTGCGGGACTTGATCCGAACCCCCATTCGCCTGTGAAGCAGGTGGCTCTGGGAGGGTCGTAAAGCGCACTCCGGTAGAGACTGCCAAAGACGGGCATGTTTCAACGCTGCAGCAATGGTTACGTTCCTGCCCAGGCTCATATGTACTCACTCCCGGCGCTCTTTTCGCGAGCGCTAAAGAACATTTCTGCCCCAGCTGAGAAGCGGCCTTTGAGTCCACCGCCCACACCGCTTTCGCCTTCCCGATCATCTTCAACGCCACGCTTGGACACCACCGCCTCGGTATGTAGCCCGTTGGACTCCGAGGGCATACTGGACTCGCTGATACTTGCGCTGCTGCTGGAAGTGCCAAAATTGTGGAGCACTCTGAATCCCCAGAGGGCATCGAAGGCACTGTAAGAGTATTCAGTGAACCACTTTCCGGTATCTCTCTGCAGCATGAGCTGAACATTCATTCTTCCGGCAGTCTTGTCTCGGGAGAGACTCGCTTGGGCAGCATCGCCAGCGATTGCTTGGGCTGCTTTCTCGCTGCTCTGTAGGAATGTCCGAGAGGGATACGAGCGCCCAGTAAGTAAGAAAGTCATCTCAGGGGAGATCCTGGTAGTGTACAGCGCATCGACTCGAGCCGAAGGCACATGCATAGAGCCATAAAGCAGATAGTCTGGGGCGATTTGAAGATGCATGTGTGTGAGCGTGAGGTGCAGATTAGGCTACATCAGTGCTCGCCCCTCGCATCTTGACAAAAAACCCGTGCTCACCTCGAGTATCGACGCGCACACCTCCCTGCCAGATCTCTTCTTTAGCTGTAGGTGCTCTAGGGGCGTCCAACACCCTAAAGCGGTGCGCCATGCGCTTGATAGAGATTGTTCTGCTGCTGCCGACATCGAGTGCAGGTGCCTCTTCATCGGTCGAAGCAAAAATGTAGCCCAAGGAACCTTCCAGTTGGGGCAACGCTCGCAGACGATAGGTAGTGAAGAAAGGCGGGCTGGGCGAAGCACTGATTGCAAAATTGAGCCCTGAAGGCAGCGGAAAATCCAATACCGCTGAAGAGGTAGAAGTGAGATGCAAATACGAGTTGTAGGGATTCCATCCAACCACCTCCCAGTACCTTTGGAGCACATGCGAAGTAAAGTCGTGCATGTTGACCGCGATACCAACACTGCGACTCTTGACTGCAAGTCGAAATCGAGCGCAGGGACCTGCCTGTGAAGTCAAGACCGTCAAATGGCAGTTGGGCCGGATGTATGCGCGATCAGTGATGGAGGCATTAGCAAAAGAGAAGTCCCGGGGGAGGCTACCAATACCGATCTCGTCGGTAAGTATCGGTGGGGAGGAAGCTGAAGCAAGCTGAATTGAGCTCGATGTCGAATACACACGGCCCGCGCGCCTGGCTGTTGAGTGCAGTCGTCACCTGCACTTCGGCTTCATGGCGCATGCGTGCAGAGGCACCAGCGTGTCGATCTCTTACACAGAGCCCAACACCTCCTTCACCACCTGACTATCTTCATGCCCCTTGGGACTCAAGATTGCTCCATCTCCAGACTTATACTCATGACTCGATTGATCCTCACGCCTCTGACTCTGCATCCGACCCGAAGCTCGTATCTGTCTCCATTTCGCGAGATTGCACGACGATGGCTCGAACAGTTTCCTTGCGAGCCCTTCCGCTCTTTCCCACCTCACCCGCTTCACGAAAGGAATGCAATCTGGCTATCCTGACACCTCGCTGCCGAATTTCTCCCGCCCGAATCGGTGCTAGATGCCCCTCTGGCACAGCCCTGTCGGACCCAACGCGCGCTCGTAGCTACTTGAGCATTCCGGAAATGACTTTCGGTCAGCGCCCATTTGATCCGCCCATCACCTAGGTGTACCTTGCGCAGCCGAATCGGAAAATCTGGAATGGGAGCCAGCTGCTGGTACATCGACCACTCTCAGGGCGCATCGCAGTCTACCAAGCGCTCGACTGAACTCGCCAAGGGCTCGTGCACATCTTCCTACGTACCCTCTCTTCTCCCTGCAAGAGCTTGTGCAGTTCGGCCTCGGGTATGAAGTGAATCGCACTCGACTTGGATTCAAGAGTGGCCTGAATGAGCCCAGCATACACGACGAAAACGCTGCAAGGGGCACATGGTCGGGCGGCGCAGGTCTGCCAAGATTGTAGGTGGATGGGATGCCGCCATAAGAGGTGGCGAGCTTGACATGAGCCTCCTGATATTGGCGCAGGAAAGGGGCTGGTCACTCATGCGCTGCGAGCAGCGCTGCTCGACGCCTTCCCCCTTTTCTAGACCGCCGCGGGAATGAGACTCTCCTCCGCGTGGAATCTGCAATCGGGGTCCAGAATGTTGGGATGAGAGCTTGAATCGAGAAGGTATGGGCAGCCCCACCGGCTGCTGGACTGCGCCTCGCCGCCGAGCGGCTGGCCGACAAAGCAGACAGGGCAGAGGAGGGAATACGTCTTTGCTCGATGGCGCGCGCAGAGAGGGAAGGCATGCGAAGCAGTGGGAAGAAAGGGGCAGGAGAAGCTGGCTTGTGGTGTGGATCAATCAGCACATTCCTTGACACGACCATGGCGCCTCGTCAGCCCGCGCCCCTCTCGCCTTCTCATAGCTCTGGAATCGACAAATTGACGTGGTGGAGGGGATCACGCGCGACCCGTCACCAGAAAGCAATTCCACCGGCGGCTGTCCCCTCGTCTCAGCCGGGAAACTCCGCGCAAAGCCCCTTCAGTGTGACTCCACAACCGCTGCTCTGCCAAGCAGGCTGAGTGGGGGGCAACTTGATCTCAAAGGACATCAAGCAGCTCTCTGCGCTCTTTGCGTTTGCTCGGGCGAAGTGTGCGCGGATATCTACGAGTCATTTACAGTGACGCAATCGGACAGTCTCAAGAAGGCAAGATGCTCGATGACCAAAGATCGGTGATTGTCATCGGCACATAGCTGTCTAGCCTCGTCCAACCGCCTCACCATACCACGAGAGTCATCCCATCCCGCAACAACCATCGAACAGCGATTCGCAGTCCACCTGCTCGACTTTCCTGCTACGCTTCCTGGCAGCACGAGCAAGAGGTATGAGGGTAGCATCACTCCTGCAGGTGCCGGGCCAAGGCTCACGAAAGGGCCACCGCCCGCTTGATTGGGATCCCAGTATCTGCAATCCGCAATCAGGAGCTTGTGGGGTAGCTACTTCGAAAGACTGTCGCAACGATACCACCATCATCACATCTGGCTGCCATGCATATTCTACAAATGAGGAGTACAGAAGTCCGTTGTTTCATTGCTTACAGCTCGGCAACGCTGGAGCTCAGCCACGACGAATATTTCGCAGCCCGTCTCGCGATGCAACACGCGATTCGCTGCCCGCTTCGCGTCCCAACCAGGCCTGCGAGTTGGCGCGGAAGATGGATGAGACCACCAACCAATCGCGCACAAGCTTTGTCGCAGAACG